AAATAGGTTAAACAGTTATTAACATGGTACTTAGTTCATAAATTGTTATACAGCAATAAAAAAGAGCAGATACTTATACTTTTTAATGTACATATTGACATCCCAAATTCATTCTTAGTTTAAAATAATAAGATACCAAATAACATACATTTTCATATTTGTGAGAAAATGTAGTGGTGGTGGAGGTTGTTTGTATAGTCTTTATGAATAGAATATTTCTGGAACTATATGCAAGAAAACAATACTTCTGCAACCATTCACCTTCTGGAAGGGATACCCAGTGGTTGGAGGCAGATCTTTCCGTGAAAGATTTCATGGAAAATACACTTTGTGTTTTTTGAATCATGTGAATGTATTATGCACTCTGAAAAAATGATTTGAAAGGAGCAAGTAAAGTCTTACACTATCATTTTTAGATAAAGCTTTCTGTATTTGCTCACAGTATTTTGCCAAAACTTCTGTTATATCATTTTTCTGGATTGATTTTTGCAAGACAACAGAGCATAATGTTAAGTGTTGTAAAGTGTGTAGTTTTGGAACTAGACTGAGAACTGGCTCCACAACTGCCAGTACTTTACTTTTACAAACTGGGGCCAGGAACACTCCTCATAGGGCTTATTGTGAAAAGTGTATCAGATAAAGTCCTTAGCATGGTTTCACACAAATACTAAATGCCAACGTGTGGTGGCTGTTACTGTTGTTAAGTGTAATTCAATGTTAAGTTTTGCACTGCTGTGCTGAATATGAACAGGCAAAAGGCTTTGGGTTTCAGTCGGACATAGAACACTTTGGTCATTTCCACTTGTCAGGTCTCTGGTAAATATCAGTGAAGTCTATAGATGAGAACTGAGGGACAGATATAGGTAATAGTATTACTTATCTATTGCTGAATAATAAAGGACTCGAAACTTAAGCAGCACCCAGGAGATACTAACAGTTTTTAAAAACCAAGAACTTGGGAGTGGCATAGCGAGGTGACCATAGCTCAGGATTGCTCATGAAGTTGTAGTCAAACTGTCAGTTGGGCCTGCAGTTTCCAAAGGCATGGTTGGAGCTGGATGATATACTTCCAAAATGCCTTGCTCTCCAGGCTGTTAGCCAGAATCCTTGCTTTTTAACCATGTAAACTTTTTCTCAGGGCTGCTTGGGTTCTTTGCAATATGGAAGTTGGTTTTCTGACAGAGCAAGTGAGCCAAAGAGCAAGGTTGACTTTTATAATATAGGCCAAGTCATACACAGTCATGCCTGCCTGTCTTATTCTGTAATAATGGAAAATGTCCCCCCACACCCCCATTCAGTATACTACAGTTTCTTAGATGCCTGGGTAATAGTTCCTGTTGCAGTTCTGGTTGTTTCTGTCTGCTAGAAACAGCTGGTCACTGTGATGCATAGCTGATCACTATGGTACATATTGTAAAAACCAATCAAAGACTGCCACGTTCTCTGTACTTCTTCTTTGCAGTCCTAGGAAAAACCTCCCTCACTGAGCCTTCGGGGCCTGATATCTGGGGAAGGGTCTCCATCAATGCCATCCATGTAAATAAATCTACCTCCAAATCCTGGGTGTTGTTTCCTTGTTTCTGCTTGCCATAGCAGTTCTATTCCTTAGATGCTAGTCTCTAAATCCAGTCTACACACAAAGGGAAATTCACTCCTCTTCAAGGGAGAAGGAGCAGAGAATTTAAGAATATTTAAAAATATCCCAAAATATCTCAAATTTTAGAATATCCCAAATTTAAAAATATCCCAAAAGAGGGCTGGGGGTGTAGCTCAGTGGTGGAGAGCTTGCTTAGCACATGTGAGTGAGAATGAATCCCTGGGTTCAAGGAGGAAAGAAAAAAGACTGTGTTTTTTAGTAATCAATACTAGATAGTTAGGGTAAACTGAGACATTACTGGGCAAACCAGGACATACAGTTGCTGAGGTATAGGTTTATCTGCAAAATCTCAAATAGGTAAGACTTAGACAAAGACAGGGACGCATAGCTATTATAAGCAGGCTAATTCAATATGACTTTTCTTATTAAAGATAAGTAAACTTTATAATTGGATCAGAGAAGAGAACTCTCCACCAAGGGGAGGAATACAAGACATGGTTCTAAATTCTAGGAGACTTTCATGGTGTTAGGCTGCTAGGCATTTGAGCTTCTCATATTTCTGTTCATGCAGAGGTAGAGATATATTGTTTACCTCATTGCTGAAAATGCTCCTAAATTTGTTCCTTAAAAACTCCCTAGGTGCAGGTCCAGATCTGTTTTTGAGGTTCTTGCAAAAGTATATCAGAGTATACTTCCAGAATATCACTTTTCACACACAACCCATCTTTCAAGTGTGAATTGATGATTAGAGTACTTTGGGTGTTAAATAGCTCCTTGAGCAAAGATTAAAACTAATTTAAACACACACTTATATATCACACTATCAATGATGAAGCACTTCAAATTTCAGACAGCGTAAAATACGCAATAACTGGATTCCTACTTTCAAATTACAACAATTCCATTAAAGAACAATCATTTCAAAGAGAAAATAAAGGGTAGAGTATAGTGAGCTTCAGACTAGTAGTAACAGGAATCTCCTCGCTGAAATTCCTATATAAGATATTTTCTTTAATACATATAAACTTTTACCTCATCTTTGAGGTGTAATTGACAAACATTGTATACATTTAAGATGTCCATGTTTTGCTGCATAAATAAACCATGAAATTATTTCCCCAACCAAGCTAATTAACCTGTTCAGCATCTCACATAGTGTTTGTTTGTCTTTTTGGTAAGAACTTCTAAGATCTCTCTTAGCAAATTTCAAGTGCACGATGCATTAATGATGGCCACCATACTGTTAATTTGATCTCCAGAATTTAGACAAATTCTAACTCAAAGTTTATTCCCATTGGTCAGCAGCCTCTCATGCCCTCACTACTGCACAACTGCTGCTCTACTATTTCTGTTCAACATTTTCAGACACCATTTCTTAGGTTTTGACTTAATTATACTTTATAATTACCAATGGCAAAATTTCCTTCTTTTCAGAGGTAAAATATTTCTTTGTATCACATTTTCTTTATCCCCCTTATCATCCATGGATCCTTAGATTATTTTCATATTGCATATAATGAGTAATGCTATAATGAACATAGGAGTACAGACATCTCCTTGGGAATTAATTTCCATTTGGATCCCTAGCCAGAAGTAGGATTTTAAGATCATATGGTAACTTGTTAGTTTTGCAGTGAAGAGAGAATGCCATACTAATTTCCATAATGACTGAATTATCAACCCTAAGAATGCTGTATAGGGTTCCCTTTTCTCTACATACTTTAAAATTTTTATCTGATTTTTTATAAATAATTGCCATCCTACCATGTTTGAGAGGATATCTTGTGATTTCAATTTGCATTTCCCTGAGGACTCATGATGTTGGACACTTTTTTACATGTCTTGGCCATTTGTATGTTTTTATTTGGAGCAATGTCTGTTTATGTCCTTTACCTATTTTTTAATCTGGCTGAAGTTTTGCTGTTGTTGTTATTGAGTTGTATGAGTTCCTTATGATTTTTCCATATTAGTCTATTATCAAGTATGTAGAGTAGTTTGCAAATATTTTCCCCCATTTTGTGTTTTGTTTTTTCATTTTGTTGATTATTTCCTTTGCTGAGCAAAACTATTTTGCTTTGATGTAGAGATACTTATTTATTTTTGCTTTTGTTTCCTTTACATTTATTGTCATATTCAAAAAAAATCACTGCCAAGTCCAATGTCAAACAGCTTTACCCTTGAATTGTCTTTTAGGAGGTATTTTTTTTAATTTTATGAAAAAAAAATTTTGTAATCAAATAAGAACGCAACAATAGTTATTACTCTTCATATTATCTTCAAAGTAGTTACTCAGCATACAAGACATAACCCAAAAAAGATTCTTATAAAAAAGGAAACAGATAACACAAATCTTTATTTTCAATGAACTAAAATAAACTAGTGATATAAATGACATCAATTAGTATGTATAGTGAAGTATTTTTGAAACAATAGAATTTTTAATTTAGAGAAAGTCTTATAGCTCAGGTCTTATATTTAAGATTTTTAACATATTTTGTGTTGGTCTTTGCAAATGGTGTAAGATAAGTATTCTAATTTCATTCTTTTGCATGTGGATATCCAGTTTTCTTACTGTTTCCTGAAGAAATTATCCTTATTCCTTTGTCTATTCTCAGTGTCTTTGTCAAAGGTTAATTGACAGCCTATGTATTGTTTATTTCTGGGCTCTCTGTTCCGTTGGTCTGTTTAAGCTTTTATGCCTATATCATATTACTTTTATTGCTGTGGTTTTACAATATAGTTTAAAATCCAGTAGTGGTACCATCTTTGTTCTTAAATTTGTTTTGGATATTTGCAGTTCATTTTTATTTACATATGCATTTTTATGGTTGCATTTTTCTATTTCTATGAAAAATGCAGTTGGAAAGTCAATGAGATGGATTGATTTTTAGTGTTTTGGGTAATATAGACAATTTAATAATTTTCTTCCTGACATCTGCAATGTCTTTCATCAATGTTTTACACTTTGTTTGCTTTTTATTTTTTATTTTTAATGCCAGGGATTGAGCTCATGACTGCACACTTGCAAGGCAGGTGCTTATGCCACTGAGCTAAATCCCCAGCCCTGTTTTACAGTTTTCAGTGTACAGATCTTTTACTTCATTAGTTAAGTGTATTATTAGATCTTTTTGCTACTAATATAAATCAAGTTGGTTTTCTTGATTCTGTTTTCAAATAATTCATTGTTAGAGTACAGAAACACAACTTTGTACTTTGATTTTATATTTTTATATTCAATTTTAATGAATTTGTTTATTAGATCAAACAGCTTTTTTGTGAATTCTTTAGGGTATCTATGTATGTATATATTTATATTTTGCAGTACTGGGAAGGGAACTGAAAAGCCTTTCAAACTGAAATATATACTCTGTCCTTTTTATTCACTTACTTCTTTTAAAAAATTTTTTTGGTATTCATAGTGAATTGACCATTATATTTTTAAAGGTCTGAAATGGCCAACAGATCATAGAAAGATATCATTTTACACTCCTACTTGAAAAAACAGCTTCAGAAAACGGCTGGCCTTGATTCAGGCCAGTTTACTTAATTATCTAAATTTTTATTCTCACTAATTTTCCCAGGCTGGACTTAAACTTAACAATGCTCTTACTTCAGATTCCCAAAATCTACCATGCCCAGCTGAAATCTGTATATAAAATCATACAATGTACAAGCATAGACAATTTTCTTTCTTTCTGATTTGTATGCTTTTAACTTTTCTTGCCTAACTGCTCTGGCTAATCCTTCTAGTACCACATTGAAAAGAAGTGGTAAGAGTGGGGTCCTCATCTTGTTCCTGATCTTAGAGTGAAACCTCTTAGCTTTCTCTCTTTCAGCAGATGATTGGTATGCGATGGTCACATACAGCATTTATCATGTTGAGAGACATTCATTCTATACCTAATTTGTTGAGACTTTTTTTATTTATTAAAGAATTTCAAAGATAGTAAAATACTTTTTCTGTATCCATTGAGATGATCATATGGTTTTGCCTTTCATTCTGTTACTGTGCTGTGTCACATTTATAAGTCTGCATATATTGAACCATCCTTGCATCCCTGGGAGAAATTCCACTTAATCATGGTGAATGGTGCTTGTAATGTACAACTGAATTAATTTGGTGATTATTTCATCATGGATATTTAGATCTATGTTCACTAGATATAGTCTATATATTTCTTATAGTGTCTTTGTCTGACTTTGGTATGTTGGTAACGTTGGCCTTCTTAGAGTGAGTCTGGACATGTTATCTCTGCTTTGATATTTTTTTTAAGTTTGAGAAGGATTGATGCTAATTTTTCCTTAAATGGTTGATAGAATCTTCCAGTGACTTCATCCGGACATTTCTTTGTTGGGAGATTTTTGGTGGTTTGGTGATATAATCTTCATGATTGTTATTGGTTTATTCATATTTTTATTTATTCATGTTTCTTCTAGAGTATTCAATTTTTGGGCATATGTTTAGCATGGTCTGTTATAGTCCTTTTTTTCTGTAGCATCAGTTGTAAATGTTTCTCAATCTGAACTTATTTATGAGTTTTTTCTCTTCCAAATCTAGTTTTTTCAATTTTGTTTTCTTTTGAAGTACAAACTTAGTTTTACTGATCTTTTTTAGATTTTTTGGTCTTGATTTTGCTTATTTTTCTCTGATCTTTTTTTCTTGTGTAAATTTTATGCTTTGTGCTTTTACTAGTTTCTTAAAATGTTCTATTAATTGAGTTTTTTCCCTAATGTGGGCATTTATTAATATAAAATTTCCTCTTAGAACTATTTTTGCTGTATTCCATAAGTTTTTGTATGTTGTTTCCATTTTTGTTTGTCTCAGATAATTTTTGATTTCTATTGTGATTCTTCTTTGACACATTGGCTATTCAGATTTGTATTAATTTCATCACATTTGTGAGTTTTCCTTCTTATGGTATTGTCACTTTTATCATTTATTTGTGTCACAAACAAAACTTCAAGCCACCATTCAAATGGAGCAATTATTTTTCCCCAGACTGTCTTCTAGCCTTTAGTTCCAGTTTCTGATTATGATAGTACCATCCCAGCAGCAGTTTGGGCTCCACCTATTTAAGGTATTAAAGCTGCCTTACACTTCAAACATGCACTATTGAGGGAGAAGTGCCTTTTAAACATTTGTTATTCAAGGGAGGTGATAATTTGTCCTAGTGCTATCCTGTAGAAAAATAAAAGCCACATACATAAAATTTTTAGTCAGATACAGTGGTGCAGGCCTGTAATCTTTGCTACTCAAGAAGGGGAGACAAGAGGACAAGTTTTAGGTCAGCCTGGGCAGCTTTTTGTGACCCTATTTCAAAATAAAAAATTTACAAATTTTATCATTTTAAAAATATTTCTGTGTAGAAGCTAGTTGATGCCATTTATACTACTAGTTTATCTTAACTCCTTGAAAAGAAAAGTTTGTGTTATGCTTCTTTTTTGATTTATGTCTTGTATGCTGAGTAACTATTTTGAAGATAATGCAGTGTGTAATAACTATCTTCATTATTTGATTATGAAAATTCGTTCTATATTTTCATAATATAAAAGCTTTTTGAAAAAGAACTGGTAGATTAAATCAGAGGTAGACTGCTCCTGGATTCAATCACCAGTAACATACACACCATAACACATGCTCTAGAAACCATATTTTAAAAGTAAAAAGAAACAGGTAGTTAACAGGTAGTTCTTATAATCTATTTTACTTAATCTATGATATATCATTTCAATGTGTAATAATATAAAATTAGAGGTTTAACGTTTTAAGAATTAAGTGTTCAGAATCTTGTATGTATTTAAGATTTTACAGCAGGTTTCTGTTTGAACTAGCCACATTTTGTGCTGAGTACCCACATGTGGGTAGTGGGTTCCACGTTAGCCACACGGAACATAGATTAGCCATTCCCTACTATGGCCCTTAAATTCATGTCAACTCCATCATTCATTCCTCTCTGCTATATAGTTTGAATGTTTATATTTCCCCACAACTTATCTAATAAAATCCTAATCCCCAGTGCAATAAAAGATATGGTCTTTAGAAAGAGTTGATTATATTATGATGGTTCCATCCTTATGATTGGAACTAGTACCCTTATAAGAGAGACTGTAGAAAATTAGCCAGTTGCTTTCACTATGCCTTCTGTGAACCAGGGAGTTGGCCTTCCTGAACACGTATCTGCCAGCACTTAAAAAGGCTTTAACAGTATCTAGGCGTTTGTTGTTTACAGGTCATTTAGTTTATTATGCTTGTTAAAGCAACCTGAAATGATTAAGACACATTCCCTGATTATCATCATATTCTGATTGATACTTTTCTTGGAAATTATCAGTGTTAGATTTTATCACTTTCCAGTGTTATCTCAAAAGCAAGACCAAACTGTTCCACCCAGAAGTGTGTTCACTCATGCAACCCTTTGTTCCATATGTTATAATACATGAATATGTATCATCCTCTTTATCTTTAAAGAAAGTTTTTAAACTTAATTTTATTTATCTCATCCCCAAAAGATTGCCTTGCATGTAATGGATATTCAATAAGCACTTGTTTTAAAATAGATTGTGTTGAATTTACTATAAAGGAAGATAAGCCTTCTATTGAAAATGAAGCAACTAATAGCCAATTACACGACTGCAAACCAGGTTGCTTTCTGCTCACAGGGAAGCCAGAGAGCTGTTGTCTTTGACACGTTGTACCCAAACCAGCAGTTAAGTATGTGGGAAATTGCTCACATTTTGTGTTAAGTCAAGAACATCTTTGCAGTAGATGATTATATTTTACTTAGCTATTATTACTTTAGGACTGTACAGGGTTCATCTTTCTCTTTTGGTGTACTGTCTATTAACTTGGCTAGAGTATTCTGCCATATCTTAGCAAACTGCTATTCAGTCTGTGTCAGACACTAAGAAGTACTGAAAAGGAGGGAAAGAAAGGGTACCTGCTTTGAATAAATACAAAGTGGGGAAATCTTGCTGGGTGCTGTTCTATTTCAAAAGAGAAATGGAGTGTCCTAGATAAGGTAGTACAGCAGCACTAGGACAGTAGACTTCCTCCTTCTGGGTTCCACTTGTTTCTGTAAGCTTGTAAAAGGCATCAGCTTTGCCTGTCCTCTAGGAGCTCCAGAGGAATATTTAAGGTTAGGTCACTTCATGTTGCTAACATCATAACGCCACACACCAATTAAAAAATTTGTTTTAACTCACAGTTGTGGAGCCTGAAAAGTGCAAGAAGGATGGTGCAGACTCTTTCAAGGGCCCCTCTTCTGTCACTTCTTGTAGATGGCAATAGTGAGAGAGCATCTGAAAGAGGTCCCATGCCAGACAGGAAGCCTGCGAGCAGTTCAGGGACCGGTCTCATTATCATGGCTCATTCTTGTAAGAGCTCATAGATTCTGCTGAGCCCCCTCAATCTCTGCAGAAGGCAAGATCTGTACAGACTCAGAGACCTCTCACCAAGGCCTCACTTCTGAGAAGTTCCACTGTCACTGGGCTGAGTCTGAGGATGTCCCAGAGGCTGACAGAAGGAGCCTAACACATCCCTGTCTAGAGGAAGTTTTCAGGTTTCCATCATAAAGAATTTTTAGGATGTGTAAGAGGCACAGGAAGTGTTTACTAGGCAGAGATTTTAGGAAACACTCAAGAGTGGTATGCATGCTTTCAGAGAAATGAGGAGCATTATTTTCTGGAACAGAAAATATTGATGCTGGAACAGAAACTTTGGCAAAAGATGGCCTATCCCCAAAGAAGGGTAGTGGCCCATTCTACATATGGTCATAGTTATATTCTATTTTGTTATATGTCTTTTGTTGTTGTTGTTGTTGTTATTGTTTTGTAATTAAAATATTCTTTCGATTATCTCAATGTCTTCTTTAGGATCAGACACTTGCTCTTTATTTTTTCAATTAAACCTATTTTGGAGGACTTTCGGAATGTCTAGGGAATTTTGGGTATGGTGGGTCTGAAAAGGAAGGAGTCTAAATTTAAACCAAAAAAAGTATTAATATGGTTCACCTTGTGTCCCTGTCTTTGGCTGGGTCCTGTAAGTTGCAATCTTTTTTAAAGTGCTGTTTTTAGTTACGATTTCCTTCTATCCTTTTAACCCATCTTTTATTTCTTCTATCCTGCTTCACCGCCATCTCCATTTGAGGGTCAAGCCTCCAACATACAAAGCTTTGGAGAAATAAACCCACATCCAAACATACTGAGTTTCTTCCCCAATGAAAAAATATAACAAATTCCTTATGCTGAAGAATTATATACTAGTATTGTCTATATTGTTACTGTTCATAGATATTTTAACTATTTATTTTAGCAATCAAAATGAAACTCTTGTAAGCTTCTGAGATAGCCTGCTTCTACTCTTCGGCTATATTGTTAGGGAGAGGGAAAAACCCAAAAAACATTGTTTCCTATCCTCCTAGATTCTGTGTCTGGGGCCTTGAAATTAAATGGACAAAAACCAGATTAACAAGAGAAAAATAGTTTATTGACCCATACCACACACATTCAAGTGGGAGAAATTGTATAACTCACAAGACCA